CACAACACCTCTCCTCCCCCCCTCTCTTCACTGCAGGTCTGGAGCACGTTTCAGGCTCCTTTGTCCCCATCTTAAATAGGGCATTCACAGGGGTACTGATTGACTCGACTCTGGCCTGAGGGGATGGGAGGTCCGACATGGGCAGAGACTGGTCTGACTGGTTTTGGAGCTGAGAAAGCTCTCGTCTCCTTACAGAGGCTATCTTTGCAGCCCCTCCTGTGCTACCAAAACCCTACTACATAAACCCAGCACATCCCTCCACTCCGATTTTCTTTTCCTAGAGCTGCAGCTCTGGAACAGTTCAAGTCTCTTGGTGCTGAGCCTTTGGAAGTAGACATAAAGGAATCTGGAGAAGGACAAGGTGGTTATGCTAAAGAGATGTCCAAAGAATTTATTGACGCTGAGATGAAACTCTTTGCCAAGCAATGCCAAGACGTTGATATTATCATCACTACAGCGCTTATTCCAGGTATGTTTTATGTGCAAGATGCTAATTTTCATTTATCTCGTGTAAATTGGTGTGATTTGGAGCTGTGCCTGTAGTGGAAACAGAGATGTTAATGAATTATGTCTGTGTGAGCATGTAAATTTTTTCCTTTCCCTGTTAAATGCCTGGTTTTAAAGTGTGTGCCTTTTTTTTTTTTTTTTTTTTTTTTTTATTACTTTCATTTTCACAAACTAGCAGTCTTTGACGCGACATCATCATGTTTTCTTATTAAACAAGGAGTGGATAGTAATTAAGTAAGAATATATAATTTTCTTGCATGTTTATTGGATCATTGCTACCTCTGCTATCCAGCTTGTGTGCTCAAACAAGTCCAATTGAAACAGTACTGTATTTTGTAATGGAAATATGAGCTTAGATTTTAGTGCTTTGTATTGTACAATGTCTGTCTTTTAATAACTCATGATGTAGGTTTTCTTTTTTTTTTTTTTTATTATGACTCGAGTTGTAAGATTGGATGTGTTCTGTTTACTGGGGACAAAATTAGACTTGCTAGTGTCTCTGGTAGGCTGCCCATGCATGCTTTTTTTGTATGCTTGGGAGCAAGATGTTCTAACATCTCTTCTCTCTGCTTGTATAAACAAACCTCCTGTGACATTTAATCCTAGCTACTGGTTACTTGAAAATTTTACTTACAAAAATAAGGTTTAAAGAGAGAGAGAAGGGGAGAACTCATCTCCTGAGCTCATCAGATAAAACGCTGTGTTTTGTTTTTAACTTAGTATGCCTTGTCTTGTCAGGCAAAAAAGCTCCCATCTTGTTTAAGAAAGATATGATTGAATCAATGAAGGAAGGTTCAGTTGTTGTGGATTTAGCTGCAGAAGCAGGGGGAAACATTGAGACTACAAAGCCTGGAGAAATGTATGTTCATAAGGTGAGCATTTTAACCTGCAGATCGTTCTCAGTTTGCATGAATTCACCTTGTGTTTTGTAAACTGGATGCTGAAAATGAGTAACTGATTTTTCTATTTGGGCTCAAGTAATCCTGAGATTTGCATTTGGTCGCTAGTCATCTTTATAACAATTTGAAGATTTTTAAAGAAACAAATACCTTTGTATAGTGTTAATTTCATTGTTAAACATGGGAGTGTTACTACTTAGACTTCAAAGTCCAGTGATTTGTCTCTGCTGAGTGGAGAGTGTGGTTTGATGTCCATTTCTTGATCTACCTGAAGAGACAGAAATCGCAATAGCTTCTTTGACTTGCTCCTCACCTGCTGCAACTGGAGGTTAACAGTCCCTGTCATATTTAAGCTAAACAGGTTCAGACTATGTCAGTGTTTACTTCAGTGCAAAGTCTCTGGCTTAGTTCAATATAGTTTCAGCTTCAGGAGACTGCTGTCTTTTTATGTCTTTAGCTTTGCCAACATCAGTGTGTCTGCCCTAGAGTATCCAAACACTTGCAGCCCAAACTAGGAGTAGCATGAATTGGTACATTAAACTAAGCAATTTTGCTCTGGACTGAACCAGCTACTTTGGTTTTGCTCCAGTGTTCCTTGGCTCAGTTTTCTCAGTGTTCATTGGCTTGTTTTCTACTTTTCGGGTTTTGCTTTTGATACTTGTGAGAAATCTACTAGCAGTTATAGAAATCGGAGTGAAGAGATATAAAGTAGCAGATTTCCAGAGTTGTGATTTGGTAGTGTAAAGGCATAATGCTGTTGCTATGGTGCTCTAGGGAAGCCTGTAGGACATATTGCTGCCATGGTTGTCATTAATATAAGCAGAGCTGTGTGTGTATATATCATGAGCCATGGATTGTATTTGGCTTTGTGGTTTTCTAGGGCTTTTGATGTCATTGCTTAAAAACTGAAATGAGAGTATGTAGAACAGAAATAGGCAGATACTTGCATGAAGAATTTACATGGAGTGCTTTTTTTGAGAGGAATATTAGCCCTTGGTATAGTGTATTTGCACTGAGCTGTTTTAAAAAGCAGTAGTGCAGAACTATTAGCAATGTGCTGGAGCATTGCATGAAGAAGCCTGAGTTCCTGGAAGCATGCATGGATCTTAGCTGTAAGTTGCGAGAGTGATATTTTAACATAAGCCTGCTTGAACATGAAGGGTGTATGCCAGCCTGAGCTTCCCATGCCTGCCAAAAGCTCAAGAGCCTGAAAGCCAGGTATACTCAACATTTGTTCTTTAAACAGTGTGGGTATATTATGTTATATCTTCACATAAATGTGAACCTGGGTGTGTTACCTGCACAGCTAGCTAGCTAGCTCTGAGGAAGCTCACTTCACTCCTTTGTCATGTAGAAAGTTGCCTCCAGTGCAAGTACCAAGAAGATGCCAAGCATTGGGCAGGATAATCTGTTACCTGGTTGCCTTAAGAAGCTAAGTTCTAAGCGAATGGTAGGATTTGGAGAGGACAAGCTCTTGCACCAATATATCTTCCTCTCTGTGTAGGCTTGTTGCTAATAGCAGTTAAGGTGTTGGATTTGATCAAGTTGTGAGTAATCCTCCCCGACTTAATAATGTTAGAGCTGCAGGTGACAGTTTTAGCTGAGATTGAAAACAGAACTAAGTGAAACAGTTTGGATATATTATTTTCAGAAGGATATATTGGAAGAGATGCTGCTTCAGAGATTGAACTAATCCTTGATATTTTTCTTGGATTTTTATCAGGGTGTTACACATATTGGCTACACAGATCTGCCTAGCAGAATGGCTACTCAGGCCAGTACTCTGTATTCCAATAATATTATCAAACTCCTGAAGGCTATCAGTCCTGACAAAGAGAACTTCTATTTTGATCCAAAAGACGAATTTGATTACGGGACTCTGGATCATGTTATTAGAGGAACTGTAGTGATGAAGGTAAGTCAGTAGCTATTCTCTTCTTAATTTGTGAGTACATACTTTTACATTGATCAGTGTTGTTACTTTAAAGTGCATTCAAAGATAGTGCATGCCAATAGACTTCAGATGTGACCTGATGGATGGTGCGGGCAGTCATGTTTGTATTCATCTGAATATTCCTCCTCCTCTTTTTGTGAAGAGAAACCTCTTTGTTTTTGTCCTCATGTTATGGTTAAACAAATACCTAATGTCTACTATTGAAAAATAGGAAGAGGATTAAATTTCTATGTTGTATTTGTGTGATAAAAGCATAGTTATTTAAAACATGTTTGAAACATCACTACAGGACTAGAAAAAAAATATTCTTTTTTTTTTTATAAATAAATATTTCTGTTCTTATAAGAGTAACTTCAGAAAATACTGGTGAAACTAGAATATGCAGGATACTTTCAGGTCTATTAAGAAATAATAAAATACAAATTTAGGGCGTGGGCCAGTATGGGCTCTCCTGTAACTATTAGGAAATAATAATTTGCAGTTTAGGTAAGAGATGTTAATTTCTGTTGCGTTTTGCTGCATAATGTTGCCAGGATTTTGTAATGCTTATATCGTCTTCTCTGGAGGAGGCTTGCATTGACTTCAGTTCTCTCAAACCACTGAAGTGGTGTGTACAGCTCAGGTCTAATAGCTTCATCAGTTTCTCCTCCAGAGGCCTGAAGAACAGCAAGAAATGTGAGATATCGTGCTTGGTTCCTAGCTGAGGCCTGGGCAGGCTCTGATTACAATTCAGTTCTGTAGCACATTTTGCTATTTCCAAGACCCTATTTTGTTTTGCATAAATGTTTTCCATTTAAGGAACTTTATCTCTTTGGTTTGTGCTTTCACGCTTTGTGCTGTGTTTCCACCAGGTGCTCTTGGGCACTGATATTAAATCTTGGCTGAAAAATGTGTAAACCAGTATGGTTAACTTGATCAGGCTGTACCGATCATCCAGCCTTGCAAACCTGCTGATGCAGAAAAGAAACATGTCCTTGTGGTGTGGCTGTCGGATGTTAAGAATCTGAGTTGCAGGATTAAGAAGAGTAGGCTCCTCTATAAAGCTTCTGCTTATGTTAGGGATAACTGTAAGTATCTCTTGTCAGGATGGCAAGGTGATTTTTCCAGCACCTCCACCAAATAACATTCCTCAAGGAGCCCCTGTGAAGCAGAAGACTGTAGCAGAGCTGGAAGCGGAAAAAGCAGCTACTATTACACCTTTTAGAAAAACTATGACTAGTGCGTCTGTATACACAGCAGGTAGGCAACTTCCAGAGTTGGAGAATCAGTGCAGAGTGCTCCTTATTTGGCTAATACTTTTAAGTGATTCCTCATCTTACTCATTCAATTTAATAACTACCCAGGAGAGCAGTTGTACAAAATCAGTGCAATGTAATAATTGCTTTTGAGATAAAAAATGAAATTTTACAAATTTAACCAAAATTATTAACATTTCAAACAGTGCTGATTCATGCTGTTTGCATATACATGTGTTTGGCTTTATTTAAATATCAGTAAAATACTTCAGATTCTGAAGGACTCCTGCTAGGGACTCTGCCCATACTTTGCAGCAGGATCAATTAATTGTCATTGCTTTCTTTGAACTTTAATGTATTATATGTGACTTAAATGCTCACAGTCTACTGACGTACTGAGAATAGGGTGTTTTTCTTGACAAATAAATATTGGCCCTTCTTGTAATTTGGTATTCTGTGTGCATCAGAGCTTCTGCATGATGTAATTAATGAATCGAGTATTTGTAATTTTAGCTTGTTCTTCGTATGCTTTGAGTCTTCCAAGTAGCATCTCAACATGATTGTGACTCTTCTGCGTTTTTTCAATAGAACAGGAGAGTGACAGGATTCAGTGCTGGTGTGGAAACCTATCTTGCTCCTTCAGGAGCATGCATAACAAAGTTATGTGTATTATATTTGAAGTTTTATATTCTACTGTAAAAGAAACACTAGCACCAAAAGAGCCTTGTAGAGCCTGTATATGATCCAGCTGATCTTAAACGTCCATACCCAAAACTGCATTTTGCTTTTAGCTCAGTACTGGACTCCTGTTGTACAGAGTTTAAATGTAAGAAACCATTGAAAAGTTAAGGAAAAGTTCTGCTGTGCTTTTCTTCTAGGTTTAGCTGGCATGTTAGGACTGGGCATTGTAGCTCCTAATACTGCTTTCACTCAAATGGTGACGACATTTGGCCTAGCTGGAATAGTGGGGTACCATACAGTATGGGGTGTGACTCCTGCTCTTCACTCTCCACTCATGTCAGTGACTAATGCTATCTCAGGTAAGTGGCTGTCGTGCAACTGTTTATTTTCTGTTTGAAGTAGGCACAGCTCCTTTAACTGGAACTTGAGACAGAAGTCTGCTGATATGCATTTTAAAATACCAAAGAGCCTAGTCTGAGTTGCATGAATAGCAAGGACATCTGAAACATGTTCCTTCTGAGAATGTGTTTCTTCAAAAGAAGGGCAAATGTGGTACTCTGTATTTTTGATTTTTATAAGTAATATTTCACTCTTAACCTGTTTGCTTTAAAATTTGTTTTACTTGGAGTGCTGCAGTCTCCCCTTTTATAGAACACATCTTTCCTCCTATCTCTACAAAACATTACCCTGAAAATAATCACAGAAACATAGAATGGTTTGGGTTGGAAGAGACCTTAACAATCATCTAGTTCCAACCTCCCTGCCATGGACAGAAACACCCTCCACTACACCAGGTTGCTCAAAGCCTCATCCAACCTGGCCTTGAACACTTCGAGCGATGGGACATCCACTACTTCTCTGGGCAACCTGTTCCACTGTTTCACCACTTTAATTGTAAAAAATTTCTTCCTTATATCTGAACTAAATCTACCTTCTTTCAGTTTAAAGCCATTTCCCCATGTCCTGTCACTATGTGGCCTTGTAAAAAGTCCTTCTCCAGCTTTCCTGCAGGCCCCATTCAGTATCAGAAGGCTGCTAGAAGGTCTCCTGGGAGCCTTCTCTTCTCCAGGCTGAACAGCCCCAACTCTCTCAGCCTGTCTTCATAGGAGAGGTTCTCCAGCCCTCAGATCACCTTTGTGGCCCTCCTCTGGACCCACTCCAGCAGCTCCACGTCCTTCTTGTGTTGGGGACTCCAGAGCTGAACGCAGTATTCCAGGTGGGGTCTCACGAGAGCAGAGTAGAGGGGCAGAATCACCTCCCTCAACCTGCTGGCCACGCTTCTTTGGATGCAGCCGAGGATACAGCTGGCTTTCTGGGCTGCCAGCACACATTGCCGGCTCATGTTGAGCTTCTTATCAACCAGCACCC